ATCTGCAAGTATCCCTGCCATACGATGCCGAGAAAGCGGACCAGCTGTAGGGTTGTCATGTTGGGCGAATGACGAGTATACAAGGTGTTGCCACGGGGGCTATTTGTACCCTGGTTACACACTCGGCGCGGAAGGTGAGTTGGAGCTCTAGGTCCTTGTAAACCGAGGCACAAAATGTTGACGTGGCGCACTGTCAAGACGAGCGAACCGGGTAACCTATGATGTTGACGTGCGGCTCGGCTCGTTTTTACAAGTTCGAATGTCGGGGTTCGACCTTGTATGTGTGTGTGATTTTTTACAGTGTGGTAAGCCCGTTGTTCGAACTTCGATAGAAGGAAATTCGAACTTCGTTCGTTGTAAGTTCAAAACTAAAATTCGCCCTAAAAACATAAACTTTTACAAATTTCAAAGACCACACGCGCCCTTAGTAGTAAGCACTCTAGATGCGAATTAAACCACGCAAAAATTCGATCCTACGTAAGATCGATCCTGCGATCGGCGTTGAGGTAACGCGTCCTCAGGAGTTCCGCTTGATTGTTTTTGCAAACACTTGTAACCCTCTTTCGTCACAACGATTCCGCATCTCCACATTTCCGTTTGGTTAGAAAGTGTTTCAGAATGAACTACTGGGTGACCTCGGGCATAGTCCACAATTGTTCAACACGGCTTCTTGAGCAAGGCTGTTTAAGAAACCACATGGGTTGAAAACGGCTAATATGGTTTTCAGAACGTTTTTACATGGTGCAGTACGGTATTCTTGAACATTCTAAGCTTGATCAGCGCTTGTGGTCCGCACCCTCATTCCTTCTAACGGGAGCCGTGCCTGTAGTGCACATCTACATGAGGTGAGCGAGATGAGCAGTGGGAAGGCAGGTGGCACGGCGTAACCGACGAATTAACAGGTTCTTGTGATGGCTTTGCCGTATCGCCCTGCGCCCTCGGCTGCCTCCCCGCTCCGTCCCCGCCCGCCTTGCTGCCGCCAGCAGCACGCTTGCTGGAGCGCTGCGGAGGTCGCGGATGCGGGCGGAGGCGGAGATTGGTTGCGCGGGAGAGCGGAGAGAGGGGCCGAATTGGGTGGCGGGTTTAAAAGGTCACGGGCGATTGTTGTGCGACAGGCGACGGATGAGCGACAACCGATGGGTGTGCGACAGCTGTCGCCTAGGCGATGGCTGGAGGGTCGATAATAAGAGGGCGCGAGGCGTGAGATCTCGTTACAAGCAGCCTCGATAGAAACGTCGCGACGGTTTCAATGCAGCGGAGGGCAGCGAGGGGAGGCTGGTGCTGCTCGGACGAGGGGAAAGCGGGGTTGAGGCGGAGGCGCGGCGCAGCTTTGGGGGACTGCGCGGACCGCAGTGAGGCGGGGCGGGGCAGTAATTGTGAGCGCGCGAGGGTGGTGGGGCGACGGGGCTAAGGGGGAAGATGCTCTCTTGTGGGGGGAAGGCGGAGAGGAACACGGGGACGAGAGGGAGAGCGTGCGCGGAGAGTGGATCGGGGAGGGCGAGGGCGGGAGAGGTGCTTGCGTGGGAAGGGCAGGGGCGAGCACGTGGGGATGGGGGCGGCATGGGCGATGGGATTGATGGGGCTGGCAGCCCGGAGGGGAGACGACGGCAGGACAGCATGGCGAGCAGAGAATGGCGCAGCAGCAGGAGGGGCAGCGCCGTGAGTCTGCGCACTGTGTCAGTCAAGGGGCCGAACCAGGCGTTTGTGGTTCGGTTGGGGGCACTTATCGGATGAAGTAGGTGGAAGCGGCGGGATTCAGACTCGGTAGGAGCTGCGCCAGCAACACGAAGCAAATCGCTACGGCTAGGGCAGGCGAGAGCGTAGCGCCACTGCCACCGCCGCCGCCGCCTCCGCCTCCATTGCCGCCGCCGACACCTCCACCCCCGCCACCACTCCCACCACCACCCCCACCCCCTCCACTGCCTCCACTGCCGCCTCCACCGCCCACGCTAGCTCCTCCAGCGCCCCTGCCCCCCTTGCCCTTGCGAGAGCGACGCTTCCCACTAGGGGTAGACGCCGCACCGACCGACTCCAGACCAACGAGGTCGGCCGCAGCAGCAGAGGCAACAGAGAGCAAAAGAGGGGAGGGGGAACACCCCTCAAAGATGGGGGTGCGCGGGTCACCACGAGAGTCTCCTACAGCGACTATGCTCTTCTCCGCTGCTAGGAGGGCCTTCTCGAGGAGGTCAATAGTGAGAGTGGTGGGACAGACTGAGAGAAATTGGTCCCTGACAACGTGAAGGGAGTCAGGGAGGCGGGTGACTATGTAGTAGAGAGTGATGTACATGGGGGGGGGGGGGGGGTTTCTTGGCGCAGAACTCAGCAGGAAGCGCAGCGCGGTAGCGAGTGTCACTAGTGCGGAGGTGCGTAATGAGGTCAGCGACTGTGGGAAAGGCAGCAAGGTCAGGGAAGAGGTATGGTAGCATGAGACGGCTCAGTGCAGCAGTGGGAGGGGAGGAGTAGCGTGCAACTACAGCGTCGTACAAGGTCTGAGCACTCTTGTACTGGCTAAAGTGCGCACGCTCAGAGGTAGGCAGGTGGCGACGCACAGCAAGACGTGCAGCAGCATCGCGTGTGGCCCACTGTGAGCGGACAGTGGCGTCAGCATCAGCAGCAGGGGCAGGAGAGGCACCAGAGGTGAGGTCAAAGAGAGAGAGACCGTCCGCCCTATCGCACTGTAAGAAAAGCTGGAGGTCATCTATCTAGACGTCAAAGTCAATGGCCCGACCCTCAGCGTCAAAAGCGAGGACACTAGGGGTAGCCATGACAGCAGTAGACTAGCAGCGCGAACAGTAGGGTGAGGTCAGTGCAGTGATAGAGGCGCTGCTCTTACCAGACAGGGCGGCTCGGCTGCAGGGCGGTAGGCGGCTCAGCAGCTGGGCGTCTCGGCGGCTCGGCTGCTGGGCGGCTCGGCGGCTCGGCTGCTGGGCGGCTCGGCGGCTCGCCTGCAGGGCGGCTCGGCGGCTCGGCTGTTGGGCGGCTCGGCTGCTGGGCGGCTCGGCGGCTCTGCTGCTAGGCGGCTCGGCGGGGCCGCAAAGGAGGCGGCGGAATGGCCGCTGAGAGGGCGGCGTCCGGGGCCGCTGAGAGGAGGCGGCTGGGCCGCCGAGAAGAGGCGGTGGGGCCGCAGAGAGGAGGCGGCGGGGCCGCGGAGAGGAGGCGGCGGGGCCGCGGAGAGGAGGCGGCGGGGCCGCTTAAAGGAGGCAGAGGGGCCGCTGAAAGGGCGGCGACGAGGCCGCTGCAGGGGTAGTGGCGGGGCCGCTGAAAGGAGACGGCGGGGCCGCTGAAAGGAGACGGTGGGGCCGCTGAAAGGAGACGGCGGGGCCGCTGAAAGGAGACGGCGGGGCCGATGAAAGGAGACGGCGGGGCTGCTGAGAAGGGCGGCGATGGGCCGCTGAAGAGGGCGGCGACAGAGCCGCAGGGAGGGCGGCGTCAGGGCCGTGCAAGGGCGGCGACGGGGCCGCTGGTGAAAGGGCGGCGAGGGGCCGCAGGGGGAGAGCGGCGACGGGCCGCGAAGGGCGGCGGATCGGGGCCGCAAGAGCGGCGGATCAGAGCCGCAAGAGGCCGCTAGGGGGCCGTGAGGGCGGCTTGGGCGGCGCGACGCGGCCGTTAGGGCGGCGCGACACGACCGCTAGGGCAGCGCGACGGGGCCGCTAGGGGCCGCTAAGGGCGACGCGACGGGGCCGTGAGGGGCCTAGCGAGGGCGCGACGGTAAGGAAAGCACACGAGGCGCGACTTGGGCCTAAGCGAAGCGCGCTCCGGGCAGGAAAAAAAACATTCGTAGTGGTGGGCCCTAGGAATCGTTCCCGTTAGGGAACCTGCTCTGATACCATGAGAAGAAATGAGAATGATTGAACTATGAATGAATTGGGTACAAGTACTAACCCTAATTGGGTTGTACCCCTTATGGGCTACCCCACTATAGCCTACACAATATGCATGAGCTATAATGTTCTGACAAGACGGGCGTATAAGAAATATTCAGATAGTTCCCCATCTTGGTAAATTCAGCTTGGCACATTTCACTGATGTGGAATTCAGCGACGGAGATAGGGTAAGTAGTTTCTTGAGTAAGTGCACAGGACGCGGAAAAAAAATATGGTGGACTGTCTCACAATCTTATTCCTGTAGCTCGTTCTGTGAGCAGCTTTGGACGAAGATTCTTACGGAGGTTCTTACCACGACTTATATCGAGGCGGCCATCAAAGACAAGATTGAACCTGACCATTACCTTGAGTCGATCAAATTTAGAAAGCTTGCTTTCTTTCATGTAGCAAGGGCATCGTCTCACTTCAAATGGGTTACACTTTTAAAATACGCTTCGCTTTCAGAATACGAAATTTTGAAAAGCGTTACATTTTTAAAAATATTCATGCTAAGGCACAGCTTCACTAACGATACAAAGCTTGTTGTGCAGTTTGCGGGATCACTTGCAAGCCTCCCACCGCATGACGCAAGGGACGTCCTTGGTAAGCTCCATGCCATCCACACCAGAATTCTTTTTAAAAAGAATCCTAGATGTCCCTTTCACCCTGTCTGTGTCTGCGCGCGCCTTTCATTGTGTGTGTGAGTGTGTGTGTGTGTGTGTGTGCGCGCGCGTGCACGCGCGCGCGTGTGTGTGTGTGTATGTGTGTGTGTGTTTCTCTGTGCCAAGTGTTCTTGTTGTGTGTCTGTTCTTTGTGACTGACGTGGATGCATTTGTTGTTAGGCATATATGCTATAGTCTATGTAGGCTGTAGTGGGGCAGTTCATATGGGGTACAACACTTTAGGGTTTACTACTTGTACTCCTCATTCTGCTCAATGCATTCATTCTCGTTTCTTATCATGGTATCAGAGCCAAGGACACGGGAGGCCATGCCTCGGAGACGAGGCAGGGAGGGGTGACCAAGGCGGTGGTGCCTAAGGAGAGTCTGGTGAGACAGGAGACGACACGAGCAGGGAGAGCTGTCTAGGGCGGGGGTTGCTATCTTTGATCTTGATTTTGATGCTATTCTTGCTGCCATGTGTGCTGTTGTTGATAGTGTTGAGGGTGACTGTTACCTGTGTGTTCCGCCTGACCCGGGCATTGAGACTGATGCTCTAGGTGCTGGTGAGGCTGTTGCTCTAGGTGCTAGCGCGTCTGCTGCCCCAGGTGCTGGTGAGTCTGCTCTCTCAGGTACCACGTCGGCTCAAGCCTTACACACCTTCACCCTTGACTCGGGTGCTTCCCGCTCCTTCTTTCGAGACCGCACCACACTTACGCCGCTTAGTCGGCCGGTTGCGGTCTCCCTAGCGGACCCCTCTGGGGGTCCTGTCCTTGCTCGCTTCTCCACTGTCTTACCGTGTCCGGCAACCCCCTCTGGCACCCTGTCAGGTCTCTACCTCCCCTCGTTCTCTACTAACTTGGTGAGTGGCGCTGACCTACAGGATAGGGGGGTTGACCAGTTCACTCCTGCGAGTCAGCGGGTGACCCACTGCACGTGTGCTGGGACAGGGAGAAACTTGGCCACGTTCACCCGTCGGCTGGGGTCGAGCCTGTACGCCCTCACTACTGAGTCTCCTCCAGCTGCTGAGCCTGGTCAGGTCGCTGCGTCGAGTCAGGTGTCTGCTGCAGCGTCTAGGTCTAGTCCTGAGTTTGCTCCCCTTCGTGTCCCGTTGCCGTCTCCTCCAGAGTCCTCTCTTCCAGTCCTTCCTAACCCTGAGTCTGACTCTCTTCGTGCTGCCAGTCCGACAGTCACGCGTCTCCTGGCCACTGTACTCACTGACCCTTCCTTTGAGTCCACTACCGCGTCTGCCTTAGTGGCTGAGCTTGTCGACTTCGCTGCTCGCTGTCGTCTAGACTACGCCACTAGTCTTGTTGCTGACTCCGAGTCTGTCTGTCCTCCGTCCGTCGAGGGTGGGTGTGCTCTTAGCACGGACGTCCTTGAGGACAGGCAGGAGGAGTTCCAGTGTTTTGCTGCTGCTTTGCCTCATCTCGTGTCCACGCTGATTGCCCATGAGGGAGACCCGGATGCACCAGACATCCCGACTCCTCGATCGTACGCTGAGGCGATCGAGGGTCCCTACTCCTCTCAGTGGCAGTCAGCCGTGGACGCAGAGATGGCTTCCTGGAAGTCCACGGGCACCTACGTCGACGAGGTTCCCCCACCTGGGGCGAACATCGTCAGTGGCATGGATTTTCAGGGTGAAGCGGCCGCCGGGTTCTCCGCCTGTCATTAAGGCGCGTTACGTGGCTCGAGGCTTCAGTCACCGGCAGGGAGTTGACTACTTTCAGACCTTCTCTCCCACCCCGAAGATGACCACTCTTCGGGTGTTGCAGCACATAGCCGCTCAGCGCGACTACGAGCTTCACTCTCTTGACTTCAGCATTGTTTTCCTGCAGGGCAGTTTGCACGAGGAGATCTGGCTGCGCCGCCCACCTGGCTTCACTGGGTCGTTTCCTCCTGGTACCCAGTGGAGCCTCCGGCGGCCAGTCTACGGTCTCCGCCAGGCGCCCCGTGAGTGGCACGACACACTGAGGACCACACTTGCGGCTCTTGGGTTTGCTCCTTCTACTGCCGACCCGCCGCTGTTTCTGCGCACCGACACGTCTTTGCCGCCATTCTACATCCTCGTGTACGTCGACGACTTGGTCTTTGCCACTGCTGACACTGCTGGACTCGCCCAAGTGAAGTCCGAGCTGCAGAAGAGACACACGTGCACAGACCTGGGTGAATTGCGCAGCTACCTTGGCTTGCAGATCACCCGGGACAGAGCACAGCGCACCATTACCCTGACTCAGTCACACATGGTGCAGCAGGTCCTTCAGCGCTTCGGCTTCACGTACTCCTCGCCTCAGGCCACTCCTCTGTCTACTCGCCACTCGCTCTCAGCTCTGCCTTCGGATGAGTCCGTAGAGCCGAGTGGCCCGTACCCAGAGCTTGTTGGCTCCCTCACATACCTGATGACCTGCACACGACCTGACCTTGCATACCCTCTTAGCATCTTGGCACGCTATGTTGCTCCTGGGAGACACCGACCAGAGCACATGGCTGCAGCGAAGAGGGTGTTGCGCTACGTGTGCAGTACGTCGGGCATGGGGCTAGTGCTTGGAGGGCGACGTCCAGTGGTCCTCACAGGTCACGCAGACGCTTCTTGGGCTGACAACCAGGCTACGCAGCGGTCGTCACAGGGTTACACCTTCAGCCTTGGCTCAGGCTCTGTTTCGTGGCGGTCTACCCGCTCGTCTTCTGTTCTCACCTCCAGCTGTGAGGCTGAGATCTACGCGGGGGCCATGGCTAAACAGGAGCTACGCTGGCTCACCTACGTGCTGATTGACCTAGGAGAGGAGCCTCGTTCTCCTCGAGTTCTGTACGTAGACAACAAGGCCATGCTGGCCTTCTGTCGGGAGCACAGACTGGAGCACAGAACGAAGCACATTGCTCTTCGCTACTTCCTGGCCCGTGAGCTGCAGCAGCGTGGTCAGCTCCGCCTCACCTACGTGGCCTCTGAGGCCAACACTGCTGATATCTTTACCAAGGCCCTTCCGCCTTGTGATCATCAGCGCTTCTGTACGATGCTAGGTCTTGTGCCTACTTGGCCTCACTTGCTCACCCCTTGACCTTGTTTATACTGTACTCTTTCTATACTCGCACTTGCTTGTTTACCTTTATATATATGATCTTGCATGTGAACTGGCCTTGTGGCCCTGCTCTTGTGCTCGGACTGTGTGGTGACGTTGTGATCCACCCTGAGCTTGCCTTGCTTTGCTTGACTGGTCTTGTGACCCCTTGTTCTCCCCCACTTTGCCTATGGGGGTGTGTCAGGCATATATGCTATAGTCTGTGTAGGCTGTAGTGCGGCAGTTCATATGGGGTACAACACTTAAGGGTTTACTACTTGTACTCCTCATTCTGCTCAATGCATTCATTCTTGTTTCTTATCATTTGTAATTGTCCAGGAAGGATTTTCCAAAGGTTTACGCCAGGATCAGCTGGAAAGGCTGAATTGTTATTCCATGGAACACCATCTCACAATATCCAGCCGATCATGACAACTGGAATGAATCCAGCTTATCGCAAGAGCAAACCTCTTGGGGATTGGTTTAGGAGGACTTTGAAGGGACCCATGCGGAAAGCAGGTGGCACCGACAAAAAGCGCACGGTAATTGTTTTCCTTATCCTGGACACACATGATGCTGTTGTGGACTATAGGGATGAGTATAATGTCATCAATCACTCCAAGTATGAGCTCCCTTTGGCCACAATCACTGTTTATTGAACTGGATGTGGCTGTAATGGGTAGCTGTGTACATACAGTACCGTAATACCCCGGATAGAAGCGCACCTGCGCTTAGAATAAAACATTGTTTTTTGGGGGGGTGCGCTTATAATTGAGTCAGATTTATAAGCGCATGCGCTTGTATAAAGGATAAAATGAAAATCAATTTTGAACACACCATTGTGAAGCTCTCAATAAGGCGAATATAACCGACCATGCACCAAGTGGGATCGTGCATGGTTTTCAAGCAGAAACCGCAGCGGTTCAGTTTCCCACCGCACAATGCTGTCAGGAAACATCGAATGTGATAGCCGTGACGAGGATGTTGTCGTGCGGCCCAATCAGAGCCGCATGCGCTGCGTGGCATATGCATTCGGGCAGAACCATCTCGAAGGTTCGGCAAGATTCCCTGCCAGCGCAGCGTAGATGCTGCCACGCAAGCGCCTCTACGGGAGTAGGCGGGGGTATCCTGCCTGTCATCGACGAGGAACCCGAGCCGCCACGCAGCAGGGGTCCCCGTCGTTGCCCATTTCTTCACCCTCGTCTCTAATTTTTTTCATTCAGTTTCCTGTCTAGCCCGCCTGGCAGGCGAAGCCATGGCGGAATTTAGTGAAACCACGCCGCACATGGCGACTTACCGAGGACGGGTGGTATACCCGTGAGCCACCAGCGCCTCCAGTGCCACCGGATCCCCCTGCACCCCCTGCTTCCACCCGCTCCTCCCGCACCTCCCGCTCCTCCGAATCCGCCTGCATTTGCTACGGCAGGTGCTCACCAACGGCCCGTGCTCCAACTGTATTTACCAGCCACGTTCGACGAATGGTTGGCTGAAGCGGACACACCCAAGGCCCCCGATGCACGCATCCAAGCTCCAGCGACTGCACCACAGTGGGGACAACCAGAAGCCTACGCGTGGGATGAGTCGGCTGTGGGCGCCGACGATGATGTGGCTGCCGACAAACATGACAGCGGCGCCGGCGAAGCTGGAGGCGACGGTGAAGCTGGTGGCGACGGTGCAGCGGGCGACGAGGAAGACGTGTTCCCCGACCGTGACACAACTGCCGAGGACGAGGACGGTGTGGAGTCCTGGTGGGGCGACGCACCACGCGCAAAGATGCCGGTACCGACGTATCCGCCCCTTAACAAAAAACGCCCCCACCCGTCTACCGAGAATCGAGATGCCGGCCCCCCCTCCCCCAGGCACAAGCAGAATCAGCATAAGCGGCAGTCCTACACCGCCCAGGAGAAGTTGAGGTGGCTCGTGCGGCTCGAGCTTGCGGCTTCGGTGAGCGAAGTGGCGCGGGAGTCAGGCATACACCGAAAAATGTCTGACAGAATGGAAAGCCCAAGCGGAGTCGCTCAAGGCTGTACACGGAGCACGGATGCAACTTCACGGACGCGGGAGGTCGTCTTGATACTGCCCCATGGAGTTAAAGGTGTACGTGCAACTCCTCGACTGGCAACGCCGCAGAGTTGCAGTTGAGAAGAGTAGAACGAGAATGGATGACTAAGGAATGGAAGTGATACAAATACGAAACCCTAATTGGGTTGTACCCCCTATGGGATACCCCACTATAGCCTACACAAAATGTATAAGCTATACAGAGTTCTGACACACCCCCATAGGCAAAGTGGGGGAGAACAAGGGGTCACAAGACCAGTCAAGCATAGCAAAACAAGCTCAGAGTGGATCACAAAGTCACCACACAGTCCGAGCACAAGGTCAGGGCCACAAGGCCAGTTCACAAGCAAGAGTACACACATATATATAAAACTAGACAAACAAGCGCAGGTATATATATATGTGAGAGTACAAGCAAGGTCAAGAGGAGAGCAAGTGAGGCAAGACGGGCACAAGACCCAACTGAGTGCAGAAGCGCTGATGATCACAAGGCGCAAGAGCCTTCGTGAAGACATCAGCAGTGTTGGCCTCAGAGGCCACGTACGCAAGCCGCAACTGTCCACGCTGCTGTAGCTCACGAGCAAGGAAGTAGCAGAGAGCAATGTGCTTTGTTCAGTGCTCCAGTCGCTGCTCTCGACACAAGGCCAGCATGGCCTTGTTGTCTACGTACAGAACTCGAGGAGAACGAGGCGGCTCTCCAAGGTCGGTCAGCAGGTAGGTGAGCCAGCGAAGCTCCTGGGCAGCCATGGCCCCAGCGTAGATCTCAGCCTCACAACTGGAGCCGAGAACAGAAGACGAGCGAGTAGCCCGCCACGAGACAGAGCCGGAACCAAGGCTGAAGGTGTAACGCTGTGACGACCGCTGCGTAGCCTGGTCGTCAGCCCAAGAGGCGTCCGCGTGCCCAGTGAGGACCACTGGACTCCGCCCTCCAAGCACTAGCCCCATGCCCGACGTACTGCACACGTAGCGCAACACCCTCTTCGCTGCAGCCATGTGCTCTGGTCGGTGTCTCCCAGGAGCAACATAGCGTGCGAG